GAAATTTTATTGTTAATCTTCTGGATTTCTGTTTGCTGTCTCTCTATGGATTTTTGCAGCCTGTTAAATTTGTCATTATGCTCTTCTCTAATCTTCTTAAGTTCCTCTGTTGCTTTGTCTGTGTGTTCCTTGGCTTGTTCTGTGTTTTGCCTGATCTCCTTCTTGAAAATCTCTATATATTAATCTTTTGAATTCTACCTCCAGCAATTCCAAGAAATTCTCTTCCTCCAGAAGGTTTTTTGTTTCTTTGTTTTGGTGGCTTGCTGAAGCCATCATATTCTGTCTCTTTATGTGATTTGATATTGACTGTTGCCTCTGAGTCATCAATAAGTTATTATATTTATTTATTTTATGTTTGCTTACTGTGTCCTAGCTTCTTGTTTTGTTTTGATATGCCCAAATAGACTGATCGTGTGAGCTAGTTTGATTATTGGTGCCTTTGAAGCTCTAACATCCTGTCACCAGGTGGTTAGATCTGTTCCTAGGTATGTGAGCCCAGGAGTCCATTTACTTTTCTTGTATGGATTCAGCTTAGGTGTCCAGGTAGTCGGCCACCAAGTAGGTGGTGCAGGCTCTCACCTACAGTCCTAGATGGGTAGGGGTGATTGGTGTAGGCACAGGTATCTGGCTGAAGTAGGGGGTCACATGCTGATCAAGGCAGGGGGCTGCTGGCTGCCCCTGAGTGTCCGGGAGGAAAGCATGTCCCTGTTTTCTAGAGCGTGTTGTGGGTGGGTTTTCAGCCGGACTTTTGGCACCCAATGCTGTTGGCTGTAAGGACTGGGAGACACCGCTTATTCTTGGACACCTGTTGTAGGTGGCTAGGTGGCATGGGTAGAGCCACCAGTCCTCAGGCCCCTGATGTGGGTAGGTGAAGACCCTGCTTAATGGGAAGAGTGGTGTCAAATGTCACGAACCTACCACTCCACCATATAGCTGACAGTTAAAGTTAGGCTTTAGGTATATACCATGTTGTTCTGTGCTAATGAGAGCCTATGCTGTTGAAATGAGTCCACACAGGTCTATGCAGGGGCGAAAGGCATTCAAAGTATGTGGACCCCTCATGCCTGTGCCTAGGCAAAGGAGCTGTGCCTACCCTAAGTTCCCGGCTTAGGGGAGCTGGCAGATTATTTATCCCTGTTTGTTAGTTTGTTCCCTCTCCAAGGTCAGGAGAATGGCTCACGGCATGTGATGGGCCCTTAATTCGGCCCAGGGAACACAGCAGTGGCTAAAGCCGGCCTGGGACTGGTACAGAGTGGGGAGGGGGCAGGTAAATGGGAGAGAGGATTTTCCCAAAGGGGGTGTTTTTTGATCTGCACAGTGGGTTAGTTACATGTACTTATCTTTTGCCAATTGAGCACCGCTTTTCACTGGTTCTGGAGGCTTGAGTAGACTCTCCCCCATTCAGTCTCTCCCGATGTGGAAAATGCGTCCGAGTGCCACTGCTTGCCTCATCCTGCGTGCCGGCTGCAGGGTACCGGTTCCCACCGAGTCAGGTCTGGCAACTAATTCTTCGCTGCTTCTGAACCATCTTTCCCTCCCCCTGCCACTCACTCTAATTCCTCAACTTTGCCTTTGATGTTTAGGGCTCCTAGATTGTCATATATAATCAATTCACTTGTTTTCTTGGGTCTTTGTTGTAAGAGGGACCACAGGAACCATCTGACTACTCTGCTATCTTGGCCCCACCTCTCATTTTGTTTTTTTTAAGGTGCATATTAAGTGCTTATTAAATGGTAGTTATCATTTTTATAATTAATTTTAAAATCAGAGAGCAGGACTCAGGAAAACTGGTATTCAGGACATGGAACTTTTCATAAAGAGTAAGGAAAAATTTTTGAAATCAAACTATTGAGGAAAGTGAGCAGATATGGGTGAGGTACCTGAATCTGGGGCACGTTTGTAGGGGTTAGGGGGTTGCGTTGGAATCTGCCAGCCAGTGCAGTATAAGGTCAATAACTATTGGCAAAAGTAGGAAGGGCCACCTGAGTAGGAAAGAATTAACATAGCAGGCTTCTGTCTTTAGAAGAGCCTGTTGAAAGGTTGGCTGGCATCTGGAACTTAGCTTTCTCAGTGTTCCCTCCATTACTAACTGATAAGTCTGGTTCACCCTGTCTAGCTGTTTTTGGAAAACTTGGAGGAGCCAAGAGAATAGGCATAGTGTGAACAAAGTTCTATGCTTTCCTTCACTGTATACACATACAGTTATAAGGGATTGTGGTCAGAGTCTGATCTTGTAGTTTAGATTTTAAAGGTGGGGCAGGCAAGTCTAGGTAATAAGGAGGATTAAGGGTAGCTATTCCCAAGAAAGGTGATCCAACTGAACATGGAAATTATCGAACAATGTCATTAATATCACACGCAAGTAAAATTTTGCTGAAGATCATTCAAAAGCAGCTGCAGCAGTGTATTGACAGGGAACTTCCAGAAATTCAGGCTGGATTCAGGAGAGGATGTGAAACCAGGGATATCATTGCTGGTGTCAGATGGATCCTGGCTGAAAGCAGAGAATACCAGAAAGATATTTATCTGTGTTTTATTGACGATGCAAAGGCATTTGACTGTGTGGATCATAACAAATTATGGATAACATTGCAAAGAATGGGATTTCCAGAACACTTAATTGTGCTCATGAGAAACCTGTACATAGATCAAGAGGCAGTTGTTCGGACAGAACAAGGTGATACCGCGTGGTTTAAAGTCAGGAAACGTGCGCGTCAGGGTTGCATCCTTTCACCATACCTATTCAGTCTGTATACTGAGCAGATAATCTGAGAAGCTGGACTATATGAAGAAGAACAGGGCATCAGGATTGGAGGAAGACTCATTAACAACCTACATCATGCAGATGACACAACCTTGCTTGCTGAAAGTGAAGAGGACTTGAAGCGCTTACTGATGAAGATCAAAGACCACAGCCTTCAGTATGGATTACATCTCAACATAAAACAAAAATCCTCACAACTGGACCAATAAGCAATATCATGATAAATGGAGAAAAGATTGAAGTTGTCAAGGATTTCATTTTACTTGGATCCACAATCAACACCCATGGAAGCAGCAGTCAAGAAATCAAAAGATACATTGCATTGGGCAAATCTGCTGCAAAAGACCTCTTTAAAGTGTTGAAAAGCAAAGATGTCATCTTGAAAACTAAGGTGTGCCTGACTCAAGCCATGGTATTTTCAATCGCATCATATGTGTGTGAAAGCTGGACAATGAATGAGGATGACCAGAGAAGAATTGACACCTTCGAATTGTGGTGTTGATGAAGAATATTGAGTATACCATGGACTACCAAAAGAACGAACAAATCTGTCTTGGAAGAAGTACAGCCAGAATGCTCCTTAGAAGCAAGAATGGCGAGACAAGTCTTAACGTACTGTGGACATGTTGTCAGGAGGGATAAGTCTCTGGAGAGCGACATCATGCTTGGTACTGTGGACATGTTGTCAGGAGGGATCAGTCTCTGGAGAGCGACATCATGCTTGGTAAGGTACATTATCAGCAGAAAAGAGGAAGACCTTCAACGAGATGGATTGACACAGTGGCTGCAACAATTGACTCAAGCATATAACAACAATTGTGAGCATGGCACAGAACCAGGCAGTGTTTCGTTCTGTGATACAGGGTGGCTATGAGTCGGAACCGACTCGACGGCACCTAACAACAACAACAACAACATTGGTGTGGATAACTTTGGAAAGGAAGTGAAGGTTCTTTGGAGCTAAAAGGTCAAGGTGCTCTGAGGCTAGGCTTGGATGGTAATGAGATATGGAGTGGAGGAGAGGATTATGATCAAGTACCAATATCCTCAACGAATGTGAAGGAGTGATCAGAAAGTAGTAGATGACGGTGTCAGAGGAGTGGCATAGTTGAATGACACACATGGGCCTCAAAAGGGAGGGATGAGGTTTGATTAAAGGTATAACTAAAATGGCCTGATAGTAGCTGCAGAAAGCTAGATGGGTGTGTTCTGCTTTCTGATCCTATGTATGTGGAGCATGGGAGGATGAGCAGATTCCACTCAAGAATGTTGTGCAAGAAAAACAGTGTTTTCAAATGAGACCAAGTTTTAGTTAAGACAGAGCAGCAGAGGTGATACAGGTTTTCAGGTGCTGGAAAAGCTGAGATTGCCATCTGCAGTGACCTCCTAATGTGTTAGGGGGACAGGAAGTGAGGCAGATTCTAAGGTACTAAGCAACTGTGATTACTATTTGCAGCTAGTTCCTGTTGGCATTAGTAATAGTAATAATGTTATTCATAATATAGCATTTATTGAGCCCTTACTATATGGCTAACACTGTTTTAAGTGCTTTTTTCATATTTATCATATTTAATCTTCACACCAACCTCATGAGGTAGATATTATTATTCAATTTTAGAGATAAGACTAATGAAGTTTATAGAGGGGGTTAAGTAGTAATAATTTGCTCATGGTCACACAGCTAATAAGAGGTGGAGCTGGGATTTGAATTCAGGTCTATCTGACTTAACCATTGTTTCCTTTGAGAAGGCTGGAAGTGAAGCAGAATTCCAGATGCTAGGGTGCAGTTGGGTCCTGGTAGAATTGAAAAGGAAAGCTATGATTGAGACCTTGTGACTCTTGTCTTAAATTTTATATTTCTCAAAATTCTGAAATTTATTTTCTGGGTTAATTTTTTGCTTCCATTAGAGCTCCATGGCAAAATAAGTACTTAGTATAATTACAATAAAAAACTCAGCTATTGGTGTCATTTTTACCAATTTACCAATTTTATACTAGCACCAGGGAAAACATGATAGGCCAAGAGTTCCATGCGTATTGTGCTGCTGGCCATAGAATTCCCTGAAGGACAGATTCTTTGCTGCGATTTCTTATACTTCAATTCAGGACCATTGACTGGCACTGATAAAAGTCTTTAGTGATGGCTAATGGTTTTTTATTTTTTTAATCAGAGGTTATTTCTATTACCAAATAACATTTCTGTTTGTTTCTAGAATTAAAGAAGGTTACCTTTGCCCTCAATTTACTTGAAGGTGACATGATAGCTGGGAAGAATTTAGAAGACTTCCTAAGAAATATTGGGATTAAGTCACCTAAAGAAGAGGTAGAGAAAATTCTTCAATCAGATTTTATTTCTGGTAAGCATTTTAAATATTAGTATCAGTTTTTGTAAGGAGCTCTGGTGGCACGGTGCCACAGTTAAGCACTCAGCTGCTAACCAGAAGCTTGGCAGTTCAAACTCACCAGCTGCTCCTTGGGAGAAAGATGTGGCAATCTGCTTCCTTAAAGATTACAGCTTTGAAAACCCTGTGGGGCAGTTGTACGCTGTCCTGTAGGGTTGCTATCAGTCAGAATCAACTAGATGACAAACAACAACAACAACCTTTGAAAAGGAGCCTTTCCTTTTAAAATTTGCTTGTTTGCAGTTATGAAAATACTTTTAACAAGCAGTTCTAAGTTTTCTGGGAAGTGGGCATGTTGGAATGCATTAAAGAAAATCCCTTGTCCTCAGAGGTACTTGATTTAGTGACTGACGAATTGTTGCAAATTCAGGTTCTGTAATAATCCTAGCTTTGCCATCTTTGATCATCACTGGATGTTGTAAGTTATTGGTACTTGAGTTCTCTTAGAGATACAATCAGAACTAGTGTATCTATACCCTTGTAGCGTTGTTGCAGGGAATACTGGATGGAAATGAATCCAAAATACCTTGTAAATACAGTGTTCAAGAAATATATAAAAGTTATATGCTGATTTTAATACTAGTCTTTTATTATTATCTTGTGCAGAAATTGTTCTTTGTCACCTCTCTCTCTTTTCCTTCCAGAAGATAACATGGTGAATATTAAAGACTGTATGAGGGCTTTGAGGGACACCAAGAAGTTTTCCAATTTTATGGGTAAGAACTCTATGGTAAAACTGATAAAAGGCAACAATGCAGGACTCCTTAAAAGGCCATCAAGTCAAACACTGTGTTTGGTGTTTAAATCTTCTTTATGGTGTCTGTGCCAAATGTTTGTTTTGTCTATACTCAAACACTTGCGATTATGGATAACATACTAAATTTTTAATTTTTAATTTAACACTAAAATATATAAACTTATTTTTTAATTAAATTAAATGTTTATATTAAATTTTGTGATTGAAAAGATTGGAAAAATCACAAGGTTGTGGTTATTTTCCAATAGTTTAAATAAGAAATCTTTATTATATTCTAATGGCAAAGTTTTTAAAAGTAAAAAAAAAAAGACACAGAAATATGAGAAATATAGTTTAGCAAGCCTCTTGTGTTTATGTACCATAGATTGTTTATCCATTCATCTGTTGATGGGCACTTAGGTTGTTTCCATCTTTTTGCTATTGCGAATAATGCTGCAATGAACATGGGTGTGCATATGTCTATTCTTGTGACAGCTCTTACTTCTCTAGTATATACTGCTAGGAGTGGGATTGCTGGATTGTCTCGTATTTCTATTTCTGGATTTTTAAGAAGGTGTCCTATTGTTTTCCATAGTGGTTGTTCCATTTCACATTCCTACCAGCAGTGCGTAAGAGTTCCAAGCTCCCTGCAGCCTTTCCAACATTTGTTATTTTGTGTTTTTTAGATTAGTGCCAGCCTTGTTGAGCTGAGATGGTATCTCATTGTAGTTTTGATTTGCATTTCTCTTATGATTAATGATAGTGAGCATTTCCTCACGTGTCTGTTAGCTGCCTGAATGTCTTCTTTGGTGAAGTGTCTGTTCATATCCTTTGCCCATTTTTTAATTGGATTATTTGTTTTTTTGTTGTTGAGCTGTTGCAGTATCTTGTAGACTTTAGAGATTAGACCCTTATTGGATATGTTATAGCCCAAAATTTTCTCCCACTCTGTAGGTTCTCATTTTACTCTTTTGGTGAAGTCTTTTGATGAGCATGTTTGATTTTTAGGAGCTCCTAGTTATCTAGTTTCTCTTCTGGTGTTTGTGCATTGTTAGTTATGATTTATATACTATTTATGCCGTGTGTTAGGGCTCCTAGCATTGTCCCTATTTTTTCTTTCATAACAAAATAATTTTAAGAATTAAAAAAAAAAGGGCCATAGAAAACTATAAGAGTGGAGAATGGACTGCTCTACTTAGGGGAAATTGATTAAAGAGCTAAGAATACATAATCAGAATTTAGGGCAAAACTCTTAACTTCTCTATGCCTCTCTAGGGAGACCTGTGAAAAACAGGAAAAATAGTATCAGTTTATTTTACTAAAATTTAGGAGGTGATAAATTAGAAACACTTTGTAATTTGAAGGTATAATGGTAATACTTTTAGAGTAGTGGAGATACACTGTTCTGATATATTTCTTTTTTCTCTATAGGGAAACTTTTTTTTTTTATGAGAAGATCAATATGATACAATGAACATTTTAAATGCGTATTAAATAATGATTATAGTATTTTAGAACTAGAATGGTCCTTAAGTAAAATGATGTAAGTTAATTTAAAATACAGTTTTAATTACAAAATATATTAAAGGCTTCTGTTAAATAGTATCATGAACATGTTATCTTGTATATAGGAATCACTATATACAAAAGTTAAAAACTCAGAATAAATTAATTTCTCAAGTCTTTTAAATGCTACTGAATTATAGAAATGATTTCTCTTACAAGTAAACATTTGGAATTTGCAAAAAGAAGCTTTTACTTTTTACTCAGAAGTAATCATGTTTGCTTGCAAAGATGTCATAATAATTCTTGGTAGAATTTTAAGTGAAATCTTAACATAAAATTCTATATACAGTATGTTTAAAAATCCCTCAAAACAAAAATGGAAAATTCAAAAAGAAGAATAGAAGGAAATACATCAAAATATTAATAGTGGGTTGGTGGGCTGGTGCAATTGGAATAATTTTTAAAACTTTTCTGTGTAGCAAATTTCTTTGATGAATATGTGTTATTATATACATAATTTTATTTGATGAATAAGTATTGTTATAAAATAGAATTCCATTTGTCATGAATGATTGCAATTTCAGAACTTGTGACAGTCCATTGTAGTTTGTCTAGATAGAACTTTCTGTGATGACAGAAATGTTCTGTAACTGCACTGTCCAATGTGGTAGTCACATGTGACTATTGAGCACTTGAATATGGTTAGGGCAAGTGAGAAACTGGATTTTAAATTTTATTTAAATGTAAATGGCCACATGTGGCTAGTGACTGCTCTGTTTGGATAGTACAGATCTAGAAAAGGCCATGAGGTTTATTGTTATGCTCAAAAGATTTAGATCAACATACTGAATTACATATTGTATGTATATTTTCTGTGTGTTTGTAGCATTGAATGAGGCCATCAACACATTGGACCGCATGAAAGAAAGTTATCAATCTGATAATGACAAACATTCAGATGCACTTGAAAACACCGCTGTACCTTATTTCACTGATGAAACCCTTCAAGGGATACTGGATGATTCCTATGTTGAGGGTGAGTTGATTGAGCAGACGACCAACACCTTGTAATAAAAATTCCTTTTAATGGGATAGCAGATTTTTATCCCAGGGTTTCAAGGTATTTTACCAAGTGCTAATTAACTCTTCAGTAGTTAGTTCCCAAATAACACTATAAACTTGTCAGAACAATGTTTACTATACCCTGGATTTAGGAATACCCATTATATCATATTCAAAGAGATTTAATTATTACAGTATCAAATGCCTGGATGATCTCATAGTATGGACTGTAAAATTGGTCTCAAAGTATATATATATATGTTGTTACATGACTTTGGAATAATGTTTCTTCCTAAAGTAATTTCATTTCAAAGTTAACCCCTTTCCTTTTATGTATTTTAGAGAGGTCTGAATAGTTTCCTAGCTTTTCTTTAAGAAGAATGGAAATTCCAGAACACTTAATTATGCTCATGCAGAACCTGTACGTAGACCAAGAGGCAGTTGTTTGAACAGAACAAGGCATACTGCATGATTTAAAATCAGGAAAGATGTGAATCAGGGTTGTATCCTTTCACCATACTTATTTAATCTGTAGGCTGAGTAAATAATCCAAGAAGCTAGACTATATGAAGAAGAACGCAGCATCAGGATTGGAGGAAGACTCACTGACAACCTGCTACATGCAGATGACACAATCTTGCAGGGTGAAAGTAAAGAGGAATAGGGTACACCCACACTAATGGACTGATTTTATTTCTATCATATGTCTCTCACACAGCTCTGTGCCAATTGGCATCTCTGTATGAAGTGTGTGGGATAGGTGGGTATAAATGCTACTTGTCTTTAGGAAAAGCTTTAAGATTAGATAGGCAGGCAAGCAGAGACAGGGAAGAACAATTTAGACTAATATTTAAACATTTTATTTAATAGATAGGTTGGGGATTTCCCCTCTTAGTGACAAAGGAAGCATCTGTGACTTTAGAAATTCTGCCACATTAAAGGAGCAGGTGGAGATTAGGAGTCCATGAAGCAGTCTGAGAAGTAGGAGAAGAATGAGGAGAGAATGATATTCTGGGAAGCAGAGGAAGATTTTGAGAAGGGAATGGTCATCAATGATAAATGTTACTGAGAAATGAAGTATTTAGTATACCCATTGGTTTCCTTTCCAGCTGGGTAATATCAGGATGCCATTCATCATCATATAATCTCACTCTCTCTAACTTTGCAGATTTTAGGAAAGAGGTTGTATCTTTAAATCTGAAATTTCCAAATGAAAATAGTGAGTAAGAAGTTTATATATAAGAGAAAACTTTTCCATAAAAAGATAATTTTTAGGGTCATTATCAAGTGCTAATGCATTGCTAATCTATTCTGCCCACTCTAGCCAGAGTGGGTTTTTTTATTCCAAAAGAGTAATCTGATCATGTTACCTCCCACTATTTATAACTCTTCAAACATTCCCCTTTTCACTTAGGATGAAGATCAAAATACCACATGCCGTACCTCTCTAGTATTATTTTGCACCGTTATCCTTGCTTTCTGAATTTCAACTTCATTGGCCTTTCAGTTCCTCAGATACTCTGTTTACCCCAAAACTTTCATATGTTCTATTCCCTGGAATATTATCCCTGACCCTCTTTGCCTGGTTAATATCTACTCATTTTTCAGATGAGTGTCAGGTTCCTTGGGAAAGTCTATCATTATCTGCTAGTCTAGGTCAGTTTCCTTTGTTATATGTTCTTATCAAACTACGTTCCTTTCCTTCATAGCACTTATTTCATATTATAAATATCCATTCATGTTTTTGATGATCATGCTCCACTTTGCTTATCGTTGTACTTATATCCAGAACTTAGCACAATCCTGGCTTTTAATGGACTCTTAATAACAGCTAGTATAAACAGTACTTGTAGTTATACAGTATTAATTATATAATATTTGGAAACCCTTGTGGTGTAGTGGTTAAGAATTCGGCTGCTAACCAAAGGGTCAGCAGTTTGAATCACCAAGCGCTCCTTGGAAACTCTATGGGGCAGTTCTACTCTGTCCTGTAGGGTTGCTATGAGTCGGAATTGACTCGACTGCAACGGGTTTGGTTTTTTTGGTTTATTGTATTATGTAGCCATATGTTGTTGTTGTTATTGTTGTTAGGTGCTGTTGAGTCGGTTCTAACTCATAGCAACCCTATGTATAACAGAACAAAATACTGCCCAGTGCTGAACTATCATCATAATCGTTGCTATGTTTGAGCCCATTGTTGCAGCCACTGTGTCAATCCATCTCGTTGAGGATCTTCCTCTTTTTTTTTTAATGGTACTTTAGATGAAGGTTTACAGAGCAAATTAGTTTCTTACTAAACAATTAATACACATATTGTTTTGTGACATGGTTGCCAAGGCAGTGACATGTCAACACTCTCCCCTTCTCAATCTTGGGTTCCCCATTACCAGCTTTCCTGTCCTCTCCTGCCTTCTTGTCCTTGCCCCTGGGCTGGTGGGCCCATACAGTCTTGTTTTGTTTTATGGGTCTGTCTAATCTATGGCTGAAGGGTGAACCTCAGGAGTGACTTCAGCACTGAGTTTAAAGGGTGTCCAAGGGCCATACTCTCGAGGTTTCTTCAGTCTCTGTTAGACCAGTAAATCTAGTTTTTTTTTTGAGTTAGAATTTTGTTCTACATTTTAACCAGCTCTGTCTGGGACCCTGTATTGTGATCCTTGTCAGAGCAGTTGGTGGTTGTAGCCAGGTACCATCTAGTTGTTCTGGAGTCAGTCTCATAGAGGCTGTGGTAGTTGTGGTCCATTAGTCCTTTGGACTAATCTTTCCCTCATGTATTTGGTTTTCTTCATTCTCCCTTGCTTCTGATGGGGTGGGACCAGCTTTTAAGACCCCAGACGCTACTTACCACAGTCAGATGTAGAAAATTTTCTTTATAAACTGTGTTATGCCAGTTGAGGTAGATGCCACCCAAGGAGGGTCTTCCTCATTTTCAGTGGCCCTCTACCTTGCCAAGCATGATTTCCTTCTCCAGGGACTGGTCCCTCCTGATAAGATGTCCTAAATACGTGAAATGAAATCTTGCCATCCTCCCTTTCAAGGAACACTATGGCTGTATTTCTTTCAAGACAGACTTCTTTGTTCTTCTGGCGGTCCATATTATATTCAATATTCTTCACCAACACCATAATTCAAAGGCATTGATTCTTCTTCAGTCTTCCTTGTTTATTGTCCAGCTTTCCCATGCATATGAGGCGACTGAAAACAATATGGCTTGGATCAGGCACACCTTAGTCATTAAAGTGACATCTTTGCTTTTCAGCACTTTAAAGAGGTTTTTTGCAGCAGATTTGCCCAATGCAATATGTTGTTTGATTTCTTGAGTGCTGCTTCTGTGGAAGTTGATTGTGGATTCAAGTAAAATGAAATCCTTGACAACGTCAATATTGTCCCTATTATCATGATGTTGCTTATCGGTCCAGTTGTGAGGATTTTTGTTTTCTTTTTGTTGAGGTGTAATCCATACTGAAGGCTGTAGTCTTTAATCTTCATCAGCAAGTGCTTCAAGTCCTCTTCACTTTCAGTAGGCAACGTTGTGTCGTCTGCATAACACAGGTTGTTAATGAGTCTTCCTTCAATCCTGATGCTACATTCTTCTTCATATAATCCAGCTTCTTGGATTGTTTGCTTAGCATGCAGATTGAATAAGAATGGTGAAAAGATACAACCCTGATGCACACCTTTTCTGATTTTAAACCACGCAGCATCACCTTGTTCTTTTTGAGTGACTACCTCTTGGTCTATGTACAGGTTCTGCATGAGCACGAGTAAGTGTTCTGGAATCCCCATTCTTTGCAATGTTATCCATAATTTGTTATGATCCATATAGTCGAATGCCTTTGCATAGTCAATAAAACACAGGTAAACATCTTTCTGGTATTCTGTGCTTTCAGCCAAGTTCTATCTGACATCAGCAACGATATCACTTGTTCCTTGTCCTTTTCTGAATCTGGTTGAATTTCTGGCAGTTCCTGTCAATGCACTGCTGCACCTGATTTTGAATAATCTTCAGCAAAATTTTACTAGCATGAGATGTTAATGATATTTTTCAATAATTTCCACATTTTGTTAAATTACCTTTCTCTGGAATGGGCGCACATGTGGATCTCTTCCAGTTGGTTGGCCAGGTAGCTCTCTTCCAAATTTCTTGGCATAGATAAGTGAGCCCCTCCAGCAATGTGTTTGTTTGTTGAAACACCTCAACTGGTATTCCATAAATTCCTGGAGACTGGTTTTTCACCAGTGCCTTCAGTGCAGCTTGGACTTCTTCTTTCAGTACCATCAGTTCTTGATCATATGCTACCTTCTGGTATGGTGGAACATCGATCAGTTCTTTTTGGTACAGTGACTCTGTGTATTCCTTCTGTCTTCTTTTGATGCTTCCTGTGTGGTTCAATATTTTGTCCATAGAATCCTTCAGAATTGCACCTCAAGTCTTGATTTTTTCCTTCAGTTCTTTCAGCTTGAGAAATGCTGAGGATGTTTTTCCCTTTTGGTTTTCTACCTCTGGGTCTTTGCACATTTCACTGTAGTACTTTACTTTGTCTTCTCGAGCCACCCTTTGAAATCTTCTCTTCGTTCTTTTACTTGATCTTTTCTTCCTTTTGCTTTAGCTGCTTGACATTCAAGAGCAAGTTTCAGAGTCTCTTCTGACATCCATTTTGGTATTACTTTTCTTCTCTGTCTTTTCAATGACCTCTTGCTTTCTTCATGTATGATGTCCTTGATGTCATCCACAACTTGTCTGGTCTTTGGTCATTAGTGTTCAATGCATCAAATCTGTTCTTGAGATGGTCTTCTGATTCACGTGGGATATACTCCAGGTCATATTTTAGTTCTTACGGACTTGTTTTAATTTTCTTCACCTTCAACTTAAACTTGCATATGAACAATTGATGGTCTCTTCTGCTGTTGGCCCTGGCCTTGTTCTGATTGATGATACTGAGCTTTTCCATTGTCTCTTTCCACAGATATAGTTGATTTGATTCTTATGTTTTCCATCTGGTGAGATCCATGTGTATAGTTACCATTTATGTTATTGAAAAAAGGTATTTGCAGTGTATAAGTTGTTGGTCTCACAAAATTCTGTCATGCGATCTCCGACGTCGTTTCTATCACTAAGTCCTTATTTTCCAACTACTGTTCCTTCTTCTTTGTCTCCAACTTTCACATTCCAATCACCGTAATTATCAATATATCTTGATTGCATGTTTGATCTATTTCAGACTGCAGATGTTGGTAAAAATCTTTATTCCTTCATCTTTGGCATTAGTGTGTAAATTTGAATAATAGTTGTATTAAGTCGTCCTCCTTGTAGGCTTATAGATGTTATCCTATCACAAACAGTGTTGTAGATCAGGATAGATATTGAAATGTGCTTTTTGACAATGAATGCAATGCCATTCCTCTTCAATTTGTAAAATTCCCGGCATAGTAGACCATATGATTGTCTGATTTAAAATGGTCAATATCGATCCGTTTCAGTTCACTAATGCCTAGGATATCCATCTTTATGCCTTCCATTTCATTTTTGATGATGTCCAGTTTTCCTAGATTCATACTTCATACATTCCATGTTCCAGTTATTAATGGGTGTTTGCAGCTGTTTCTTCTTATTTTGAGTCATGCCACATCAGAAAATGAAGGTCCCAAAAGCTTTACTCCATTCATGTCATTAAGATTGACTCTGCTTTGAGGAGGCAGCTCTTCCCCAGTCATATTTTGAGTGCTTTCCAACCTGAGGGGCTCATTTTTCGGCACTATATAACAGTGTTCCACTGCTATTCATAAGGTTTTCACTGGCCATTTTTTTCAGAAGTAGACTGCCAGGTCCTTCTTCCTAGTCTGTCTTAGTCTGGAAGCTCCAGTGAAACCTACACCTTGGGTGACCCTGCTGGTATTTGAAATAATGGTGGCATAGCTTCCAGCATCACAGCAACCCATAAGCCACCACAGTATGACAAACTGACAGACACGTGGTAGATATAGCCATACCACTTATAATGATTTAAACTGGCTCTATTTTTTTTTTTTTTTGTTCTGTGTTTTCACAAGCAGTTACATGAACTGTATATACTCCCTGTATACAACCAACTCACATTTTTTTTCTCCAAACTCAGTTCAAATGTCGCCTCCCACTCCATAAGACTTCCCAGAGCTCATCACTCATTAAATTTTGGTTAAATGAAACTTCTCTCTGCTTCCATAATTCCCTCTGCATATTTTTCCCAGAGCACTGACTATATAATGCAATATATTATAAATTTGTTTACAAAGATGACAGACTGAGTTCCTGACCTCAATGAATTTACAGGAAACTCTTTGATGAAAGGGACTGGATTCTTTGTCATTAGTCTCAGTAACTGTAAAGTAACTCTTAGTAGAATCAGTGTAGCTTTAGGATGGTATTATGATGTTTTTTCTAAGTGACATCCATAAAGTTTTAGATCTGCTAGTGTAATGTAACAATTTTCAAAATATGAAAACATAATAGAAGCACTTGATTTGGGGGTTGAGGGAGAAATGGAATGGGAAATGATATACATAAAAAATTTAAAAACTAATGATGATGATTTTTTATATTTTAAATTGGTCTAGGATTAACAGAACTGCTGTGCTTGATTGTATGGGTTGTGCCTTGCTCAAAGGTGCCTGGCTGACACAGTAAAAGTAAAGGCTGGAACACAGCCCATACTCTACTATGCTCTCTAAGCCTTTGAACCCCAGTGGTAGATTGCAGCCACTCAGAGGAAGGTGAACCTTACTGTAACTGATGCAAAGAGAGGGAGGTTTTTTTCCAATTTACACAAGAGTACAATGTAGACTAGCAGAGGCCCTGGGGATCAAGAGTTTCAGCCTCAAATTTTAGCCTTTAATTGTTCACCTACTCAGTTGATAGAGGTCTTTAAACCTTCTACATGTAAAGGGCATAAGTATTATTTAAGAGGCTTACAACTCACTCAGTATTTAATGGATGAACTGATTCAGATCATATCTTATTACAGTATATACCAATAGTCTATCATATTCTCTTTACCGTGAAATTTTCTTTTTTAAAGTACTGCTTGAAATAAGTGGGTATTCAGTTATAAATAGAAAATATTTCTCCTTTTTACAGAGATTTTGCTTCAGATAAATATTTAATTTGCGGGTTTAACTACAGTAGACTTTGGGCAAATTATTTTGCATGTTTTTTTGCACAGTAATATCTTGTATATATTAATTTCTCCTTGCAGAGATTAAAGAAACTGCATACGTCTTATCACATGTTGATAATGGCAGAATTAGTATATCTAACTTGGAGCATGCCTTGAAAAATTTAAATGTTAATTTAACTGAGGAGGATTTCAGTGAAGCTCTTAAACGTTGTGACATCAATGGTAAGCATTTTTGACTTTAGTAGGTTTAAGGGCCCTTTGATTAATATGAAGGTCAACGTATATAATTTGTAGAGGTTAGAAGACACTAGTAAATATTCCACAACTCATGAAGACTTATTTTAAAAGAAACAAGAATATAAATAAATTGTGATGAGATGGGAAAAAGTTGTGATACCTTACTTACTATATAGTAATGGTACATCAGAGTGCCCCAGTTACCCATGACACAGACAAGAATGCTGAATATAGGGCCTTATTTTCAGTTTTATGTTATTTATATTATTATTGTTAATTTTTATTTTACAAGTATTTTCATTCTGATATTTAATTATTTCCCTTCCTAGCATGCACAATTAATATCATTATAAATGTAAGTATTTTATAGTCACTTAATTTGTGTAACTGATTTATATTTGGAGAAAATTAAGTTTTATCCAGTTATGATGTCCCTTGTTTTGGAGCATGGGAAAAGCAGGAAATAAAAACCGTTTGTTGGTCAACTGGCCAGGTGGTGGTTTATGCTGTGTATCTTCTGTTGCTCACATTGAAGGAGTACAGGTGTATCCAAGAAGTAGAAGCAATCAGTAGTCCACATACTTCTGGTGGAACACACATATATGGACAGACAGACAGACACACGTACACATACACACAGGCGTACAAGCACATAGAACTCTGAAGGATACATGATCACTTATTTATTTTGGGATCAAGAAATAGAATCCAATCCATGTAGTATCAGGAAGATGGCCCAAGTCTAATTAACTTATTCGAGTGCATCTTCCAGATCATATAAAAGCCTCTGCAAAGTGCCTTATATAGAGAGAGAGATCAAGAAAGCATGCCTCTCTCCCTTGCATCTTTTCTACTGCCTCAATTATTTAGTCTTTTAAATTCTTTCTCTGCCCACCTACCAAACCCCCTGCTCCCACTTACATTAACAGTCTTAGCATCTTGAGAATGGAGAGGAAAGTGATACAGGTGATCCACTCTCACCGGTGGGTAACAACTCTTGTTGTGACGGTTATATGTATCTTGCTGGCGTATCTTTTGTAACTTATGCCAAAAGACTATCTTTCTTATTGGTGGACATTGAATTACATTACAAATTTAGCCCTTTACTTTAACTTTATGAAGTGCCAGGCTGAAATGGGGCTAAGAAGATTAGGGGTTGGGTAAAGGAGATAATGAAACCTGAAACATTTAAAATTAAGAAACAGAATGTAAAGTGTGATGATTATATTTTGCTGGGACCTAAAATTCTAAAACCAGAATTGTATACTACTGGGCCCTGCCACCACTATTGCCACCTGCCTTAGTTATCTAGTGCTGCTATAACAGAAATACCACAAGTGGTTGGCTTCAACAAACAGAAGTTTATTCTTTCACAGTCTAGTAGGCTACAAGTCCAAATTCAGGGTGTCAGCTCCAGGGGAAGGCTTTCTGTCTCTGTTGGCTCTGGAAGAAAGTCCTTGTCATCAATCTTCCCCTGGTCTAGGAGCTTTTCATGCAGGGACCCCGGGTCCAAAGACACACTGTGCTCCTGGCACTACTTTCTTGGTGGTATGAGGTTCTCCTGTCTCCCTGCTTGCTTCTCTCTTTTATATCTCAAAAGAGATTGACTTAAGACACAACCTAATCTTGTAGATTGAGTCCTGCCTTATTAACATAACTGCCACTAATCCCATTTTATCAACATCATAGAGGTAGGATTTACAACACAGGAAAATCACATCAGATGACAAAATTTATGGACGGTAACACAGTACTGGGACTCATGGACTAGCCAAACTGACACACATTTTTTTTAGGGGGGGACACAATTCAATCCATAACACCACCCTAACCCCCCATCTCTCCCCGGTATAAACATGCTAAAAGAACAAAGCCAGACAAAGGAAAACTTCACTGGTTTGGGTTTAGATTCCAGAGCCCTAGAAAGAATACCATAACTTTGGTAAGCTTGATTGGATCACATGGCAGCTCCTTATGCCTAGAGCAAACAGATCTAAGTGGCCCCCTTTCCTCTGTTCTCTGCCCTGGTTTCCATTCAGAGCTGGGCTTCATCCAAGCTAGAGGCTGTTCCAAGTCAATATAATAGTACTTACACAGTGCAAGAAAGAGAGGACTAAAAAGGACATTGGAGAGGATTGCCAAAGAGGCTCCAAAGAGATTAAACTATCTCTAATAGGATTAGAGGTTTAACTTTTTCCCTCAGCACAGCAAAGCTTCATTCTTCTGTCAGTTCTCCTTTCCCCAAGCCCCATGTAACCTCTAATCTACTGTAACACATACTTGCCTTGATTCTGACCTATTCTTGGAATGTTCAGGAGACAGGAAGCTCAAATCAGAGACCAAGGTATTAAAGATTTTCTCTTTATATTTGGTGTTCTATATTTTCACCATTATGTAATAAAGTATATGGAATTTTACTTCTTTAAAAACTTGCTTGGAGTTTGTTGTGCTTTCATCTGAGGATTTATGCTGTGTTCAGAAACCCAGAAGTAACAATGATTTAAACCAGGGGTTGACAAGCTGGCTTGTGGGCTAAATTTGGTCCACTGCCAGTTTTGTAAAAAGTTGAATTGAAACATAGCTATGCTCATTTGTTTATGTATTATCTATTGCTGCTTTTGTGCTATAATGGCAGAGTTGGATAGTTTTGACAGAGACTGTATAGCCTGCAAAAGTCTAAAATATTTCTATTTGGCCCTTTACAGAAAAAGTTTGTCAAACCCTGGCTGAAACAATACAAGTTCATTCTTTGTCATTTAAATTTGGAGTTAGGCAGTTCAGATAACTCTATAAAATTGTTAGAGAACCAAGGTCCTTCTAGCTCACTACTATGTCATCGAGTGGTCAAAGATGGTGGCTAGAGTTTCAGCCACAATCCAGGCAGTAAAATGGAGGAAAGAACAAAGAGAGGTCAAAGGCTATTTGCTAGCTCTCCTCTTTTTTTTTTGCTTTAAAATTCTTTTCTTACGGCAAAATATATATAACATAAAATTTGCTATTCTTAACAGTTTTTAAGTTTGCAGCTCTGTGGCATTTAGTATATTCACAATATTGTGCAACCATCACCATTATCTACTTCCAAAACTTTTTTTATCACCACAAATGGAAACTCTGTATACATTAAGCAATAACTGTCTGTTCCTTCCTCCCCCAAGCCCTGTGAAACCTCTAAGCTACTTTCTGTCTCTGAATTTGCCTATTCTAGATATTTTATGTAAGTGGAATCATAAAATATTTGTACTTTTGTGTCGGCGTATTTCGCTTAGCAGAATTTTTTCAACACTCATCCATGTTGTAGCATGTATCAGAACTTTATTTCTCTTTATGGCTGAATAATTGTATGCATATACCACATTTTGTTTATCCATTCATCTCTTGGTGGACATTTGGGCTGTTACTGCCTTTTGGCTATTGTGAGTAATGCTGCAGTGAACATTGGTGTACAGGTATCTGTTTGAATCACTGCTTTCAATTCTTTTGCATATATACCTTGGATTGGAATTGCTGGGTCATATGGTAACTCTATGTTTAACTTTTTGACGAACCACCAAACTGTTTTCCACAGTGACTGCACCACTTTACATTCCAACCAGCAATGTCTGAGGGTTTTAGTTTCTCTACATGCTCACCAACACTTGTTACTTTCTTTTCTATTTTTTTTTTTATTATAGCAATGCTAGTAAGTGTGACGTGATATCTCATTGTGGTTTTGATTTGTATTTATCTAATGAATAATGATGTTGAACAACTTTTCATGTGCTTATTTGACCATTTGTATATCTTCTTTGGTGAAATGTTTATTCAAGTCCTTTGCCCATTTTTTAATTGGGTTGTTTGTCTTTTTGTAGTTGAGTTGCAGGACTGCTTTACCTATTCTGGATATTAAACCCTTATCCAAGATATGTTTCCCAAATATTTTCTCCCATTCTGTAGGTTGTCTTTTCACTGTCTTGATGTCATTTGTTGCACAAAAGTTTTTCTTTTTGATAAAGTCCAGTTTATCCATTTTTTCTTTTGTTACTGGTGTGTGATTGATTTCCTATTGTTGAATCACTCTTGCTTTCCTAGGATAAATCCCACTAGGTCATGGTGTATAATCCATTTAGCATGCTTGTGGGTTTGGTTTGCTATTATATTTTTGATGATTTTTGCATCTTTATTCATAAGGGATATTGGTATATAATTTTCTTGTTATGTCTTTATATGGCTTTGGATCAGAGTAATACTAGCTTCATAGAATTGTTTTGGAATGTTATCTCCTCTTCTACTTTTTGGAAGAGTTTAGAAGAATTGGTATTATTTCTTCTTTAAATGTTTGGTAAGATTCACCTGTAAAGGCATCTGCTCCTATACTTTCTTTGTTGGGAGGTTTTTTTTTAAAATTTTTTTTATTGTGCTCTAGGTGGAAGTTTACAGAGCAAATTAGTTTCTCATTAAACATTAATACACAAATTGTTTTGTGACATTGGTTGCGAACTCCACGATGTGTCAACACTCTCGCCTTCTCGACCTCTGGTTTCCCGTTTCTACTTGTCCAGTTTTTCTGTCCCTTCTTGCCTTCTCATCGTAGCTTTTGAGCTGGTGTGCCCATTTAGCCTCATATACGTGGTTGAACTACGTGTGTTATTGTTTGTTTTATAGGCCTGTCTAATCTTTGGCTGAAGGGTAAACCTCAGGAGTGACTTCAGTACTGAGTTAAAAGGCTGTCCGGAGCCGTACTCTAGGGGTTTCTCCAGTCTCTGTCAGACCAGTAAGTCTGGTCTTTTTTTTTTTTTTTATAGTTAGAATTTTGTTCTATGTTTTTCTCTAGCTGCGTCTGGGATCTTCTATGGTGATCCCTGTCAGAGCAGTCAGTGGTGGTAGCTGGGCACCATCTACTTGTGCTGGACTTAGTCTGGTGGAGGCTGTGGTAGTTGTGGTCCATTAGTTCTTTGGACTAATCTTTCCCTTATAGCTTTGATTTTCTTTCTTCTCCCTTGCTCCAG